TTTTTTTAAACTTTGCATCAACTTTACAAAATAAAGGACAAAATGCTTATTTTAGAAAATAAATAAAGTTAAAGGACAGAGCAGTGAAATAAAGGACTGTCCTCTTAAATAAAGGACGTATGGTCACTTTTTATATCCGGGACAGACCACCCGGAAAAATTCCTGGGATTTTTCGACCCGTTTGGATTCGATTCCCCCCCCCACTACTGTCTCGGCCGATCCGGCCGGCTATAAACTGAAAATCATTTAATCTAATTAGATAATAAGAATCTGCACTTAAATAAATACAAAATCAAATATCCACTAATAAATAGTAGTTGGTTAAAATCAATCTTTTCCAATTGATTCTGCATATATTCTGTCTTTGGCAGTTCAAAAATTAGGATATCAGATAGACTGACCATAACCTTTTATTTGATTGACCAAATTTATTTTTATATTGTAATGTGGCAAATTATAGTATCTTTAGTCTTAAATAACTTTTTGTATTTACTTTTGTGTTTTATCTACTAGTCATTGTCATTTTTAATCTAATGCCAATCATTTGTAATGTTACGATAATTATGTAATGACCCTTTGGTTTTAACATTTTAATAAACTAATAGTTTAGATAAATAGGAATTATAAATGGATCACAAATCTAGATAAGATAAATGAATATGTGACTAAAATATAATGCAGCTTTTCCTTATTTTATCTACTGTATATCTTCAAAGATTTTTCTTAAAGAAACGAATTATCGGTTTATTACCTTTGTACTGTCTGGTTTTGAAGAGGTAAATGACTGATAATCTAAACAAATGGAAACTATGTATATATCCCAGTTGATTGATTTTTTTAGAAGGAAATTGTTATTTGAGATTGCGGTAAATAAAATATATATTTAAATATATAAATAAAAATTAAAAATTAAAATAAGCAGAGTTCACGTAATTTGTTAAATATTATAGCTTAATACATATGATAATCCTAAATTCAATTAACAATAAAGAACTAGGCTAACTACAACTATAAATATACAAATTAAAATGGTCATATTATAATTTTACAGCCTGAGCTCATTCCTCCAAAAAGTATTAGGCCTAACGATCAATGGGCCATTAATTTTTTCCATAATTACGTAGCTCAGAAGAAAAAAGCATTTGGCAATTTGGACTTTGCAACGCATTCGGTTGCATTCTTTGCGGATTTTTTTAGTATTACGCTGCACATTTTAATGCAAATTAATGTATTTGATGCAAACTACATAAGCCACGAGACAGATTTTTCGCGTGTATTCCATGCTATTAAATAGTTTTACAGTAATAGCAAAACTTTTAAATTAATGTTCATTAAATAATTATAATTCATTATTTTCCTATATGAAATATTCAAAAAAGATAAAAGCAAGAAGAATATTACACTACATAGGCACTATCAATTGAATGATGAAATTATTTTAAAATTTGCAACTTTAGCTTTTAGTTACTCTTGCAGTACTTAATATTACCGAATAAACATTCTGTAGTGAATTAACATTCTCTTACACGTTTTTTGTTAGATTCCGAAAGACTACATAATTATGTAATAAACCAGCTTGATAATGACCGTTAAAGCAGTGAAATTATCAGATACGGTAGTAATTTTATAGATAACCTAGGCCTACATTTCGAGGACAAAGGGAAACAGTCACAGATAATATCTACCTGAAGTATGATTATATTTGTCATTTTTAATAGGTCTTGGAAATAAAATGTTTCTATCATTTTATAACATATATAAACTATTCATAGAAATAAGATTGAGTTCAGACAGGCTACGTTACGTTACACCTGTACAATCAAAGGTGTTATTTGTAACGCTTTAAGTAATCTCTTTTTTGAATGACCAGACGTAACATAACGTAACAGAAGTATCTGTCTGAAGTTCTGAATTTTCTATTTATCAATTAAGAAATACAAATACAGAGCAGGCCAAAGTCACTTTACACAAATGAAATAACTTTTTTACTTTTAATTATTTTATAAGTTTCTTTTTAACATTATAATGTACACATCTTGGAGATTTTTTTGGCCTAAACATGAAATATAACATTTTTTAAATGACCCTCGTTTTTCTCTTCACAAAAGCGAACTCTTTCTATGGTAAAGTGACTTTTGGCCCACCCTGTATACCATATTCAATATAATCTGCGATTGTTTTTTACTTTAAGATACATTTTAGATTATTTTCATTTTTACAAAAAAAATCACATGTAATAAATTTAGAATCTAATCAATATTAGACTAGATTTTATAGAGACTTTTTAGAGATTTTATAGATTTCATATAGATTTTTAAAAATTTTTTCTTATAGACTGAATATTTTAATTAAGAAAAAAACAAAAAAGTATAAAATAATGCTCAATCTTCTATTAAGT